GATCAGCACAGCTGCTGAGATGAGACCAAGTGCAGCCCAGGGCTCACAGAGGAAGGGGGAGGCAGGCAGAGGAAAGCCCTGGAGAGGGGTTTCCAGGTGAGTGGCTGTGGTGTGCCCACACCCAGAGAAGGCAGGGCGTGACATAGAGGACAGGCATTGAGGCTAAAGCCTGGGAGGGCTGCAAGCAAGGAAGCAGAGGGTGGGCAGGCTAGGGGACTGGTGCACAGGGCCACAGAAAACCTGGAGGGAATGTGATGGATTTTAAGTGGGGGTGAGGAGCACAAACATATTTCTATTTTGGAAAGGTGTCTCCACGGCAGGCCTGGGGCTAGACTGGAAAGTAGGGGCACAGAGGACTGGACAGCATGCTGCCACCGTCCAAGCAAGAGACTGCAACAGTCTACAGGACAAAGCAAGGCTGGTGGTAAGGGTGTGGATTCGGAAGGACTTGCTGACCACCTGGACAGAAACTGAGGCGAGAACTAAAAGTGGCTCAGAGGAAAGTGCTCAGCCTCAAGGCCTGCCTGACAATGCAGGGTGCAGTAATCACCCCAAAGCTGGAAGTGCCAGGATGGTGTAGGATGAGGAGAGCCCCGGCCTGGGTGTTGGCCCCCATTCTGCCTTTGGCTCACTGCAGGCGGATCAGGGGTTCCTGCTGAGCCTGTTTTCTTCTTTCTGGCATGGGCAGTCTGGAAAAACCCTGCAGTACCAAATGTCATATCATCTTTAACCTCAGACCCAACCTGCCCCAGAAACGTTTACGGCCCATGCATAGCCACCTTCTTAGAACCCCAGAGTTCTAGCCAGAGGAGCCCACATGTCCCCTTTAGGGTGTCTAGCAAGGAAAGTCAGGAGACATGCCTGTGGGGACAGGACAGGACAGGCCAAGGAGCTAGGAGGCACCTGGATGAGGTTGTTGGTGAGACGGACAAGGCCAGTGGCAGAGGATGATTCCTTTAGGATGCTGCCGCTACTATCTGCAGACAGTGCCTGCTCGATGCCTATCAACAGCTGGGTCACTGTGGCCACCCATTCCTCCTTGGCTGCAGTGTCGCTCGAATTCACCATCTGCTGGACAGCCTCATTCAGAGCCACTTCAGAACACTCAAAACACTGCTGGTGGTCCTTCAGCCGGAGCAAGGAGTCCTGAGTATGGGAAGAAAACAGAAGGTGCACTGTGAGCTCAGCACACCTGGGCCTCAGGCCTGATGGTGGAGAGCTTGGGGAAAAGGGCAAGAGGGGAAGCAACGTGGTCCCACACAGCACTGAGGTGCCTGGGAAGGCAGGCTGGTGACCTGTGCACAGGGGCAGCATAGCATGCCACCAGCCCGGAGCTCTCCCTTTTCCCAACTTACAAAGCTGGGACACTGGAAATGAGACTGCAGAGCCAGCCACAGCAAGACAGAGATTTGAGGATCTCTGTCAACTCTCCCCTGAGCCACCATGCTCCTCCAGGGCCAGGGCTCTGGAGCATGCTTAGGAGGGACAGGCCACCAGGGAGGGGACTGTCTAAAGCACTTCAGCCAAGGCCGCAGCAGGTGAAACTGGCCAGACAGCCTCAAGGTCATTGTTTAATGAGTCCCCTCCTCCACAGGTGCATTGGTGGGGCCTAGGTATGAGCCCCTCTGAGCCTTGGCTACTGCACCACCCCCTCAGAAGTACCAGGAGCACTAAATGCAGCTTATGGGCACCTCACACTCTGCACAGTGCCCAGCACTTGGAGGAGTTCTCAGAACACCATGAGGGGTTGTCACTTCCATGTGAAAGCTCCTGGCTGGGCGTGGTGGCTCATGCCTATAATCTTAGCACTCTGGGAAGCTGAGGTGGGAAAATGGCTTGAAGCCAGGAGTTTGAGACCTCGGCAACACTGTCTCTACAAACAGCAAAAAATAAAAATAAAAAATTAGCAGGTGTGGTGGTGCACACCTGTACTCCCAACACCTGACAGGCTGAGGCAAGATCACCTGAGCCCAAGAGTTGAGGGTGTAGCGAGCCATGATGAAGCCACTGGACTCCAACCTGGGCAGCAGAGTGCGATTCTGTCTTAAAAAAGAGAAAAATATCCTAAAGCCATCAATTTTTGCAAAGTTCCTTTTTTTTTTTTGTTTTTGCCCTAGAATATATCCCATTTGAACACCTCTGCCCTCTTCATCACTGAGCTGGTACATGAGGAGACACAGCCTGTCTGGAAAGGCATAGACGTGGCAGGCTGTTTATTAGACACACAGGAAGCACCTGCTGCACTGTGCCCCATCAGCCTCTGACCTCACCACAACCCAGGCCTGGTAGTGGCTTCTGCCCACCTTGACACATGCAGCTGCCACTCTCTTGAGGTGACACTGACAGGTGATGAGGCAGAAATACCCGAAACTGCCTTTGGACTGTGCTGTAACATCTGAACACAGACCAAAACTCCCCCCAATTTGTGAGCCCTAACTGCTGGGAAAACAAGGCCTGCTTTCTTTAGAAAAAGCCAGCACCCGCTAAGCACAAAAGCGCCTGTAGGTGCTGGTGTCAGTGCAAAGCCCAAGTTGACTCTTCCTAGTCAAAACACCAAACATGCAATGGGCGGAGGATTATTTTCTAGCAGGAGAAAGACTGCTGGTCTTAAACTGCAACCAGAGTTGCCACGTAAGTCAGGGACAAAACAAGGACTCACCAGTGGTGTGTTTATATGACATAATCCCCAGGGCTCAAGGCCAGAAAGAGCTAAATGAGTGGTTCTCAACCTTCCTAATGCCGCAGCCCTTTAATACAGTTCCTGTGGGTCGCGACCCACAGGTTGAGAACCACTGAGCTAAATAGAAGAAAAACTGCCAACAAATGAGACCAAATTACTACTGACTGTAAGCAACACAACTGTCTATCCAAACAGAACAGAATCAGCAGAAAATGATCAGCGAAGCAGTCAGATTCAAAATAAACATGCAAAAATGAGCAGGGTTCCCAAAAACCAGCAATGTAGAAATATACATGTGATGATCAACAAAAAGATTGGGCTCAAAACAGCAACCAGAAATATTGGGACTGAGAATCAACTCAACAAGAGGCAACTATCTAACTATAGTGGAGAAGATGAAAGGCAGCTGGTCTGAACTGCCAGAGAGCGTCACCAGGCACCTGTGCAGGAGGGTTTCAGATTCCACCCCTACTTGAGAACAGCTACTGCACAATATAAAATGTTAACACCACTGGAAGAAAACAAAGGCAAATATGCTTTTTAATCACTCATCTGCCTCTAAAACCTGGGCTCCCTTGGAGCGGCCTTCCTGTTGTCCAGTACCAGGCGCCCAAGACATGAGGACTGGGTGGATGATTTTTTTCCAGTCTCGGAAAGGCTACATAAACATAATGAACACAACCACAATGAACAAAATCACAAACTTCTGAAAACATCACAAGATTTGACAACATACATATTCAGAATTTCTGTATGTCAAAATCAACAAATTAAACTTGGAGCCTGGAGCTCAGTGGTTAGGATGCTGGCCACATGCACCGAGGCTGGTGGGTTTGAACCTGGCCAGGGCCTGCTAAACAACAGTGACAACTGCAACCAAAAAATAGTCAGGCATTGTGGCAGGCGCCTGTAGTCCCAGCTACTTGGGAGGCTGAGGCAAGAGAATCATGTAAGCCCGAGAGTTTGAGGTCGCTGTGAGTTGTGACATCACAGCACTCTACAGAGGATGACATAGTTAAACTCTATCTCAAAAACAAAAAAAAA